ACTCAGACCTTATATAACATAAATCATTTGAACGGTTCACTTGTTTTTTAGCCATAATTTATTTGATGTTTTTATCTATATTTTTTGTCTAATTTACTGTATATTATACTCAAACAATACAATTGTATTTCTGTTTTTATATATTTTGTTAATAAAAAATTTGAAATTTTATAATCGATTGCTTCACTTGATTGAGTGCTTCATAATTAATACTGCATTTGCTTTTCATGTAATTTTTGCGCAAACAAAACAAATTCTCATTTCCAATTGAAATTGCACTTCACTTAAGTGAAAGACAACACTCACTGAACAGTTATATCGTATAACTTATACAAGAATAATACAGTATGTAATGTATTAAACATTGAATATACAGTACTATTATGTATATATGAATGATAGATGTAATATATTCCGGCATAACTGAGAAACCTATTAATTTTCTAGAAGTGCTAACACTAATGCATAAATGTAAATATACTACACTTTGGATATATAAATAATTAATATTTTTGAAAAATATGAACAAATTTATGTTAATTGAAATCAGATGATAAAGTGTCCAAAACTTTGAGATTATAATTTTAATTTTAATTAAAAATATGTTTTCGCAAAGAATAAAATATGTAAAATGTGTATATATTTGGCACAACATAGTAATCCCTTTAAAACATACATTTAAAAGCTTATATTACATGCCATTTATGGTATAAATTGGTTGTAAATTGTGTCACAACAGATATTTGGATCGATAATTGATTAAAATTGTTGTTATAATTTTGTTATCATTTAAATAAGTGCAAAAACACTTGCGCTTATAGTTTGAGATTCACATGAAATCGCAATGCGATTATCAATCAAACAATAAACACATTTAATGGCAATATTTGCGACACCAAAAAGAGCCGAAAACTATCGCAAACACAAACACTGTATTTATATTGTCATTAAATACCCGGATGTACAGTAAGATTACGTAAGAGATTACATCTAATCATATTTGATATTTTCATCATGTTTAATTAAAAAGCCATTACATTCCTAATTATTTCATATGATATAAATTATAATATATGGTTAATTGCAATCATATATCAAACTAGTGCTGTATTCCTGTAATTATATAGTAATAGTTGTGACACTTATTACAATTAATTTGAATTTAATTTCTAAATTATATATGACTTACTTCTTGGTAATTACATTTTTATCTAAACATAAATCTAAATATATCTGAAAGAGTTGACACCAAAAACGCGGTCACCGCTCACTCCTAACGCCCATCGCTTCGCAAATGTATTTCTAATTATAAATCAATACATTATAACCGGTAAATATGCCGGCCGTAAACAATCATCATGGTACTAACTTTAATCTTGAACAATTTGAACAACCACAATGGTAGTTCCCTATACATGATCATTTACACCTAATTTAGACTATTATTGATTTTTGTTAATATATTAGTAATATTACCATGTACAATATGTATTTATAATCTGTGTGGTGATAATTACAATTTAATCAATATTTAAACTGTAATTGTAGTATAAATTACAATAAAATTCCTAAATGTTGATTAGGGGTAAAGAATGCATTGAAAGCATTGCTATCGCTATCTATTAGTTGTATCCAAATGTACTGAAAATGCAGTGAATGTGTGAATGGATTGCAGACAAGCGATAGACGTGTCGAACATGTGTTAGACGTAAACACAAACCAATCTATGGCTCGATCTCTGGCCTCACTATCACTGGCTGTCAGACAAACACTTCGCTCAACAACTCGTCCATCACTTNTGAATGTGTGAATGGATTGCAGACAAGCGATAGACGTGTCGAACATGTGTTAGACGTAAACACAAACCAATCTATGGCTCGATCTCTGGCCTCACTATCACTGGCTGTCAGACAAACACTTCGCTCAACAACTCGTCCATCACTTCACCACTCAATCAACTATTGTCTCGCTTTCATTGCAGTCACCATTGGATCCATTTATTGCATCAAATCATATGACGCAACGAAGAAGAAGAAGTTTCATCAGTACTTTGAACGCGAAGATTGTCTCAATAAAAGACACCATTTGTTGCAATCGTTTAATAAGTGTTTAACGCCTTTATTGTCACCGTTTGTGTCCATAAGAAGAGCCCATCTTTTCTTGAAAAGCGATGTCAAAGAGGAGACGGATTCGTTGTCGGCGTCCAAGAGATTCAATTTCATCGCTGATGTGACCGAAAGAGTGTCTTCGGCTCTGGTCTACATCGAAGTGCAGGGAAGACATCCCTTCTATCCGGAGCTGACTGTCTCTGTGTCGAGCGGATCCGGATTTCTGGTCCACTCGTCGGGTCTCGTACTGACCAACGCTCACGTCGTGGCCAACGCTTCCGTAGTTTCGGTGAAACTATTTGACGGCCGAATAGTGTCGGGTCGGGTCGAGTACGTCGACCACAGACTCGATTTGGCAACAGTTAGGCTCGAGACCAGTGCCGAGACGTTTCCGTATATAAACTTCGGTGACTCTTACAACTGTCGGACGGGTGAATGGGTGATAGCGATGGGCAGTCCCTTCTCCTTAAGCAACACAATAACGGTTGGAGTGATATCTTCTGTGCGGCGAAAGTCACGCGAATTAGGCTTGAATTTAAAGGAAATTGATTTCATCCAAACCGATGCGTCCATAAATGCGGGCAATTCTGGCGGACCTCTGGTTAATTTGGACGGCGAGGCCATCGGCATCAACACCATGAAAGTGACGGCCGGCATATCGTTCGCCATTCCCAGCAATTATGCCAAAGGTTTTCATTGAGTGCGATATTTGTCTCGTTTTTTCTANCGATAGTTTTCGGCTCTTTTTGGTGTCGCAAATATTGCCATTAAATGTGTTTATTGTTTGATTGATAATCGCATTGCGATTTCATGTGAATCTCAAACTATAAGCGCAAGTGTTTTTGCACTTATTTAAATGATAACAAAATTATAACAACAATTTTAATCAATTATCGATCCAAATATCTGTTGTGACACAATTTACAACCAATTTATACCATAAATGGCATGTAATATAAGCTTTTAAATGTATGTTTTAAAGGGATTACTATGTTGTGCCAAATATATACACATTTTACATATTTTATTCTTTGCGAAAACATATTTTTAATTAAAATTAAAATTATAATCTCAAAGTTTTGGACACTTTATCATCTGATTTCAATTAACATAAATTTGTTCATATTTTTCAAAAATATTAATTATTTATATATCCAAAGTGTAGTATATTTACATTTATGCATTAGTGTTAGCACTTCTAGAAAATTAATAGGTTTCTCAGTTATGCCGGAATATATTACATCTATCATTCATATATACATAATAGTACTGTATATTCAATGTTTAATACATTACATACTGTATTATTCTTGTATAAGTTATACGATATAACTGTTCAGTGAGTGTTGTCTTTCACTTAAGTGAAGTGCAATTTCAATTGGAAATGAGAATTTGTTTTGTTTGCGCAAAAATTACATGAAAAGCAAATGCAGTATTAATTATGAAGCACTCAATCAAGTGAAGCAATCGATTATAAAATTTCAAATTTTTTATTAACAAAATATATAAAAACAGAAATACAATTGTATTGTTTGAGTATAATATACAGTAAATTAGACAAAAAATATAGATAAAAACATCAAATAAATTATGGCTAAAAAACAAGTGAACCGTTCAAATGATTTATGTTATATAAGGTCTGAGTTTAACTTTACTGGCTTTGAATGAGAGTACAAAACAAATAAATAGAAAAACAACGCCAGAGATCATCATATATGAGGACCAGGAGAGCTCACATGTGCCTATCGGTGGTGCCATAGATTGTATCAAATGGTTTATATATTAGTGAATGATGTGTATAAATATTATAAACAAAAAATGCCATTAAATACCCAGTTTATAGACATCGGAGAGACCCCCGCAGGCGTCCCTCACTTCAGGACTGGTCCAGCCATAGGGGTATACGATTCCTCCCGACGCCATCAGTAGAGCTTAAGAGTGATATGCAATTCAATTGTGGATTATTTTGTCAGTCAATCGTTTTTATTTTAAGAAATTATATTAAATTCTTATACGAGTCCTTCAATTCAGTGTTAATTTATATTTTTTCAGAAATTCATTTCACGTCTAAAACTACTTTGCGATCCAATGATTAGCAGTGAATCGTAACTCAAAATTATTATTTTTTATTGGATTTACTTTTTATCCATTATCTGCTTCGATATATACAGCAAAGTATTATAACTAATATCGAGCGCAAAGTTTTATTGATTTGAGGAATAAGTTATATTGAGTTAAGTTTTAATATTTATGATATGATAATCGCTTCCGATGTCAGAGTATTTTTCATGCAATCAATTATTTGTATTCTCTTTTTATATATTCTTAAGTGCTTTTAAAGAAATTTTGTCAATAAGTGAACAAAATTTGAAAAATGTATTGAAAATGACTTAAAATGTTCTTATTCTTAGTGTCTTATACGCCCTCCAAATGGGTTGGGAATACATTGCGAGACTTTTTGCATTAGTTGTGTGTTTTTGTAGAAATATTTCTTTCCTAAAGATTCACTTCAATTGCAAATAGTATTTGTTTTTGACGTTTGTCTGCAATTTGTAATTGAGTTAATTTCGACAAAAGAAGTGTTGACTTTAAATTGATTTGTTTTGCGTTGAGAGTTGTGTCAAAGAATGCACAAAAACTCGATAACATTGAAAACGGTTCATAGACTACACACACATACGTAACCTAACAGTACTGTTATACAGCAAAGTATTATAACTAATATCGAGCGCAAAGTTTTATTGATTTGAGGAATAAGTTATATTGAGTTAAGTTTTAATATTTATGATATGATAATCGCTTCCGATGTCAGAGTATTTTTCATGTAATCAATTATTTGTACTCTTTTTATATATTCTTAAGTGCTTTTTAAAGAAATTTTGTCAATAAGTGAACAAAATTTGAAAAATGTATTGAAAAATGACTTAAAATGTTCTTATTCTTAGTGTCTTATACGCCCTCCAAATGGGTTGGGAATACATTGCGAGACTTTTTGCATTAGTTATGTGTGTTTTTGTAGAAATATTTCTTTCCTAAAGATTCACTTCAATTGCAAATAGTATTTGTTTTTGACGTTTGTCTGCAATTTGTAATTGAGTTAATTTCTACAAAAGAAGTGTTGACTTTAAATTGATTTGTTTTGCGTTGAGAGTTGTGTCAAAGAATGCACAAAAACTCGATAACATTGAAAACGGTTCATAGACTACACACACATACGTAACCTAACAGTACTGTAGACCTAATGTATGGTTAACTCCGTATTTCCTATTGAGTTGAATCACATCTATGGTTAGGGTATTATCATTGTTTGGTTCACTGAATAAATAGTTTTACAGAGCGAAACAGTTGTGTGTTTTTCGTGTATTGAAGTCTGTTTGTGAATAACTCAATGTAATCATGCAGTTTCAGTGTTGGCACTGTTTATGACATACAACTCGAAAACAATACAAGTATTGATCAAAATATTTTTCGGATAATAAATTGCTTTAAATGCTTAAAACATGGCTTCAATTTATTTGACACTAAATATAGAAAAGCATTGAAATATTTCATTAGATAACCATTAATTTGTTTCATCGAAAGCTTTTTGGTTAGAAAAAATGTTTGATAAATGATTTAATAATAAGTGTAGTATTTATTTTAGGTTTAAATAAATTACTGTTATTTTGTTTGATAGAGAGTCTCATAAGGAGAGGAAAAGCCATTGAATAAACAGATAAACAGTTTGGTTTTCCTCTCAAACCATTCGTATCCATAGATAGCGATAATAACGATAATAATCATAATAATAAAGAAAGCTTTTATCCAAACCTCCAATCAATTGAATGATTCCCAAAGCTTTTGCCGTACTTTTAGTGATCACATCCGATAGACAACAAGAGGCCAATACAGTAAACGCCACTAATAAGGAAAGCGCCGCTAAATATTGATATTTGCAAAATAAGTATCGCATCACTAATGAAATTGTTTTGATAATGTCTTACATCCCATTCCTATGAGTATTGTTGTTATCTATAACGCAGACCATTGAATCCAATTAATGAATCAATGAAACAGAGAGAAGAAGAATGAATTGACATAAAAATAAAACAAAACGAAAAAAGAGATAAAGTTTAGGAAAAAACTTTATCGTAAATCAAACAAATGATTTGAGGAGTTATGTGGAGAAAGTGGGGGGCAATGAGTGATGCAATGATAATGACTACATGACTACCTGCCAGGGAAGGGATGGTATGTCAGCGAAAGTGCGATATCGACCGCATTGGTTGATGATCTCAATTTTGCCCTCATCTGTGAGTCGGGGATAATTACAGCGTCTGAACGAACCAAATGAGACATCGATGGCGTTATGATAGGATCCCCTGAGCCAATACGGCACGTAATAGCCCGTGCAGTTCAGTATAGCAGCTGCTAATGATAGACTTGTCCACATAATACCCGCTGCAGTCAGTCTACAACCCATTGCTCTCTGTGTCCGCACTTCTGGTTGGCTATCGATTATCATTAATCACTATATTTTGCGATCACTTTCTCTTACGATTAATAACTTTTGGTTTCGCCGAACACTTGGCTCTCGTATTGTTTTGTAATTTATCTCATTTTTCCATTTATTTATTTATTTGCCAAACACTGAGTGAATGTAGAGTTGATATCAAAGTTTTGATTCCTCTGTCAATGTTTGGCATACATTTGTTACGAAGAGACGAAGAACTGCTGAGACACTCAAGAATTGTGGCGACAATAGTATCACAAATCATATCATGTCATAAAGAATACGATGAATGGAAAGGACTTATCGCTTGTATATATTATTCACAATCAATTCATAAAAAATATTGTTATATTTCATTGAAGCACTTGAAATAATACTACAAAAAGTATATCATTAACTCTTAAACACTATTTACGATCAAAGACTAGCATTGGTTAGCGATATATAAAGTATATATTTATATACACTTAATATTTATGTAAATAATAAAATCAAATCATAAATATAAAAAACAAACTCTCGTTCAAATACAAGTGTTGATTAGTTTCATACAAAGCATGAGATTTTCATTCATTTGATAGGAATATGTTTGCGAAGAGAGAAATATTCAAAACTTGTTGAGAGAGAAATAGTTGCGAGACTTCATTGAAAACAAGTAGATCTACACAAGAAGACAGGTTTCACGAGATGTTTAAATTTGGGGGACAGAAGAGCCACCGGATTAATGACTTATCCATACAAAACACTACCCGAACAGCACAAGTGTACGGCACCAACACATAGCACACGGCATAACCAGTGAACGTAACATTATATAACTTATAAACGTTTTATAATAAAACACACATAAAGAGATAGAGAAAAAAGCGCCTCTTTTTTCAATTCACAAAAAGTTGATTTTCGTTCCTTTGGTTGAAATGAAAATTGTTGTGTTTGTGTTCAACACTTCCAGAGGTTTTGAGCGCACTATCAATGGGTAGAGAGTTGGAGGAGAGACAGACTGTTTGCGCACCTTTTACTCCAAACCTTATCGTCAGTACCACTCACTGAACACTGTCTGTAACACAGACTCTGGGCATACAGTGTATGGCAAATACGAGACACAGAATAATAGCGATTGTGAATCGCATGGTGTTTGGCATTCATGCAAATATCACTCCAGCCCTCTCTCATTCACTTACACTCTCTTCGTGTCTATAATATGAGCGAAACTTTTAGCGCCGAAGAGAAAAACAGCTGAAACTGAACTGTTCTCCAGATGTAATGCACTATTATTACGACAAAACAGTTTTATTTCACAATATATCTCAACACAACTGACATTAGACTCAAGAAAAATGAAAATTTACAATATATTACACATTCAATTGTGGGTATAATTTGCATTTCCATTATTCAAGTCGTTTCTTGGGGTAAAATATGCTCTTTAGGTATGGTTTGGTGTAAAAGGTGCGCAAACAGTCTGTCTCTCCTCCAACTCTCTACCCATTGATAGTGCGCTCAAAACCTCTGGAAGTGTTGAACACAAACACAACAATTTACATTTCAACCAAAGGAACGAAAATCAATGAGAGAGAGAGAGAGAGAGAGAGAGAGAGAGAGAGAGGCTTCCCTCGAAATAAATGAAGTTCAGTGAAGAGCGCGAACTCTCATTCGTTGAGATGTGAACCCAAACTTCATTTGAGGTCAAGAATGCATACAATTATCCAAATTATGTGTAATTTTGAAACGAAAAGGGAATGAAAACCTCTCAAGAGAATGAATATTCAGTTAAAACTAATCCGAAAGATATTAAAGTATTGCTTAATATCTGTGAAGATTACAAAATTCATGTGAAAAACTATATATAAATAAAATGTTTGCCTTTTATTGTATGGAATGGGAAGTCCTGAACAGGTATTGTAAACATTGAACGCATAATACATACAAACACACTGTTTGTCGGCCTTTCATATGGCATACCATTCATTTGAATGAAAGTTTTTGTGTGGATTTGGGATTGGGTTCGGGGTTGGGGTTAGCGATGCACTCAATACGAGGCACTTTCATTGCCTTTGGGCTAAAGTCTGTAATTCAGTCCGATTTATATTGAATGCAATTTACTGTACACTTTGTGCTTAACATTTCAAACAAAATTAGATTTTCTCAAAGTTTACAAAAAAAACTAAAGTCTGATATTATTAGCGAAATGATCTCAAATTGTATGCCCAAAGTCTGCACAAAAAATGCTAGTTTTGTTGCTTTTTATCTAGAGATGCAAAAATCGATAAAAACAATTTTAATTCCCAAAACAAATTATTTGAAAATTATATTTTAAAAGTAATTAAAAACGTGAATAATTGATTTGTGTATAATTTTATTGCTTCACAACATATCAAACATAAAATCTTTTGAAGTGTTTTCAAGTTTTGCTTTTAAATTAATTTTGGAGATTAAGGCAAGAATTGAGTCAAATTAGAGTTAAATGAATTGAATAGCAAATCATAAAACGAAAGCTCAGTAAACACTGGGATTCCTGTCGGCAATCGCTTTCTGCAAACAACGCTTTCCTTCGCTTCCCTCCAAAAAACTCATTATTTTTCAAGTATTTATTGATTTTAAAACTCATGCAAAGAAACATTTAAATGAATAAAATTCAATAGAAGTACAAATATTGTGTATAAAGTGTTTCATGCATTTTAATCAAGTCTCCAATTCTTTGCATTCAGTAAACTATGGAAACAAATATTACATTAATTTATATTTACAGTTAAATTGTAAATCCAATTAAAATGTAATCAAATTGATTTAAAAAGAATTAACAAGATTTGAAATATATTAAAATAGTGCAGAATATTCTGTAATTATGAATTTGATTATCAATGTAAATATACAAGTATTAATAATTTATAAATTTATACATTATGAACCATATGTTGCATGGTTAGTTTTTATTCATAGTATAAATTACACGTAATATAATATTATAACCTTTTACATTATTCTATTGAATGTGGCACAACTGGAAATTGTCTAGACTAGATCATTTTATATATAGCAAATAAATACAGTATAAAGTTAAGTAGAGTTCATGTATTAAAAATTAGTAAAAAAAACATTATAAAATATTTATATGAAATTTAATTTTAAATGATGAATAAAATAACATATAACATGTTGTTACCTTGATGAATTTGGTTAGTATTACTCAAACCATTGATCACAAAGTTTCTAATAGTGTATACAATAAGTTGTAACCAAAACCATACCATTTAAAGCCCCCCAAAACCCCCCAACTTTTAATGATATTTGTGTCAACTCTGAGGCCATCTCTAGTCCTCCACTCAAATGAATACAAAACTAAAACTTATTTTCACGTAATTTATGACTGAAATGAAACTTTACGTGAATTTAATGTAAATTTTTCCCTTAAAAATTGTATTGAATTATAAGTTAATTGTAATTAAAAGTGAATTAAATATTAAAATCCAGTTTGAAATGAGTTTTATTGAAGTGTCAGAAATCGAGTTCACGTCTAAGAAGTCGTGTTTTATATCAATCCCGAAGAAGTGGATCAACAAAACCAATGATGTATTGTTTTGAGCCAAAAAATCCCAACAAAAATAAGTGACATTTAATTGCAATTAATGTTTAATTTGTATTAAATTTTTCAGAAAATATCCATTTTTCGCATCAAATCGTTGAGAGAAGAGGAGAGCGAAGAAGTGGTGATGTCTTGGAGTGGAGACACCACTCAATCGGATAACACTATTCAAGTGAATGGTCTGTTTGCCAACAAATTGGGTTTCAGTCATAAACAGCAGGTTTTGGTCACTTATGTGCCGAACCCGTCCGCCAATGGCATCACTAATGCATTTAAATGCTATCTGAAGCCCATCTCTGACAACGATTGGCAGATACTGTCCATGAATTCGGCGTTCATTGAGACGAATCTCTTGAATCAGATCCGTGTCCTCGCGTTGGGACAGATATTTCCCGTTTGGATCACAAATCAGTCAAATGTGTGTTTATTTGTTGAATGCTTTCATTTGATGCCAATTCAGTCAAAGGCTGTTATTCTCAATAATCTGACGGAAGTTATCGTTTGTCCGCCGAAGACTGTCCGCAATACCATCGATGGCAGCGATGATAATGATTTACAGCCCACCGATCGGTTGTCCACTGATTCTCAAAGCATTGCATCAAATGATTTAAACTACAATTCAAGCCAATCGATGGTGTCGTCGATGTTTGGATTCGTTAAATCATTTATCACTAATACTCCGCCCGAAGAATCAAAACAAATGCCAAGCGTTAACTCTAACGAGTGTTTAAAGTCTTCCGATTGCATCGAAATTGAAACGGGAATTGATTTCAATGAAGTGCTTAGAGTTTTGCCCTTTTTTGATGATAAAGATGAAGACAAGGATGCGATCAACACTGTCTTCGTGTCCAATCAGTTGTTCAATAACTGCGAAAATAATTATTTTATCTCAAAATTGATTCATATTTTGTCGCCAAATGAAAGAAAGAGAGAACACCAGAAGAATGAGAGACAAAACGACACAAACAGTGCATCAAAGGATGCTTTGAGTGTTTCGCAACACATCTCAGAAATGGATTTTAAGGAAACAGTAGTTATGGTTTGCGGACACAATCGATGTCCAAATTCTTCAGTTTTTATTTGTGATACAGTGAGGAAACAAATGGGTCTTTCACTCACATCCAGAATATTTCTAAACCCTATGAATGAAACTTCAATTCCGGTGATAACAGCGCTAACTCTTTGTCCCATTAATATATCGCCCAAAAAGAGTAAAGTTTTGAATGATTTACTTAAAAACGATTTGATTCGTCTCATCGACAAGACATCGTCCAAAATGTTATGTCTAATCAATGGTTCACTCATTCATTTGTGCGAAACTGACTTTTTTACATACCATAAGAACGGCACATCTGCTTATATTATTACCTTAATATCTGTCAAACAGTTATCGATTAATATCTGCGAACCTGTTATGGCTATTCAGAAATCATTTTGTGAGAATCCGTTACCCATTTCTCGACTCAAAGACATTGATTTAAAACTGAAAGCGACTCATAATATTCAGTACCAAAACAAGCCATTTGCTGGTTTTAATGATATATTCAAGAAATGTCTAAATTTTCTAATATTCTCATTAAAATGCAATGAATTGTCACAATATTTGCAAAATATGTCATCTCTTAAGATGTGCTCTCTATTAATATACGGTCAGAAAGGGAGCGGAAAAAGTCATTTAGTGAGCGCTTTAATTGAGAAGTTAACAGATTATCCGTATTTTGTTTTTGTCCATTATATTGATTGCCTTTCATTGAAAGGCAAACGAATCGAAACAATACAAAAGAGTTGGAATCAATGTATGGCTGAATGTCTTCACAGACAGCCATCAGTGCTTGTATTTGAAGACTTGGATGCCATCGCTTCGATGCCCTCAAAGCCCGGACAGGAGACGAGTGCCGAAGCGTTACATTCCGAAAGAATCGGACTCTTGTTTGTGGATTTAATTGAGAAAATAAATCGCAATGAGATATCATATGGCAATAGAGTGGCCGTAATCGCCACCTCTAAGACTAATAAAACACTTCAAACAGTTTTAGTGCAATCGCGAGGCAAACACCTATT